AGGGCTATGTGAGACCAGGGCCGGCTAGGCGTAGTCAGCGGCCGAAGGAGACCAGCGGGTGACTGATGTAAGGGTTTGGACTGCGCACAGGGAGCACAGGCGGCTACTTACTCCATGGCATCTTTTTCTAGGGTGGACCATCAAAAGTAACGTTTCAGGAGGGAGATGGTACAATGTACCCCCGGATGGCATGCTAGCCGTGAGGCATGGGCCCAGTCGAGGGTCTGGGCCCTAGCAGCCTGGGGGACGTATAATCTATCTGGTGGTCCACCCCCTGGATTGGGTTCTTGTTGTTGGGCCTCCCGTATGGTGTCTTCGATTTGCCATGTAATGGTGGCCAACATACAGGAGGCGGGCAGAATGGTTTCTGGTATTTGTGGTTTGGCTGGGGGACTGTACTGTCTGGACCGAGCATCTGGTTTTTGGTTTCGGGACCCCGGCCGATAAGAGAGGGTGAACCGGAACCGATCAAAGAACAAGGCCCACCTCGCTTGCCTGGGATTCAGTCTCTTGGCGGACTGGAGGTAGGCCAAGTTCTTGTGATCGGCCCATACTAAAAAGGGCTGGTCGGCACCTTCAAGGAGGTGCCGCCATTCTTCGAGGGCCAATTTCAAAGCCAGTAGTTCTTTGTTGCCCACATCGTAGTTGCGTTCGGCCGGGGTCAACCGTCAGGAGAAGTAGGCACAAGGATGTAGAGCGTGGTCTTCCCTGGACCGCTGAGAGAGAACCGCTCCCACCCCAGTGTCGGACGCATCCACCTCGACCACGAACTGCCGTGAGGGATCAGGCTGGAGGAGTACAGGGGCTGAGGTGAACCGGTTTTTGAGTTCTTGGAAAGCCTGCTCTGCTGTCCTGGACCATGCAAACTTCACCTTGGGTAGGCACTCCTGAGGTCCAACTTCGTGAAGACTGCCGCGCCCTGAAGAGACTCAAAAGCAGAGGAGAGGAGAGGTAATGGGTATTTGTTTTTGACAGTAATAGCATTGAGACCACAGTAATACATGGACAGAGGCCACCATCCTTCTTCCCCACAAAAAAGAACCCTGCACCCAGGGGTGAGGAAGAAGGACAGATCATACCTGCACGTCGAGCGGTTTCAATGTACTCCTCCAGAGCCTGTTGTTCGGGTTTGGAGATGTGGAAGAGACGACTGTTGGGCAAGGTGGCTCCCGAGTACAGGTCAATAGCACAGTCGTATGGTCTATGGGGAGGTAAAGTGTCCATGGCCAGGTGTTTTCTGAACACCCGCTTGAGATCATGGTAGTCCGAGGGGACCAATGATAGGTCAGGCGGCTCTGGAGGTGTAGAAGGCATGTATGTGGTGGGTTGTCCAGCCAAAAGACAGGTCTGTGCATAGGTGGGGCTCCACTGCGTGATAGTTCCGGTGGTCCAGTCCACGGAGGGGTTGTGTCGGACCAGCCAGGAGTGACCCAATACCAGAGGTGTGTCGGGGGCAGTGAAGATATGAAAACTGATGTCCTCATGATGGTTTCCAGCGATGGTGAGATGAAGTGGTGGTGTCCGGTGGGAGATGTGGGTCAGCAGCCGACCGTCGATGGCCAGGGCTTGGTGGGAGGATGTCCGACTGGCCGTTTCCAGTTGCACGGGGAGGAGGCAAGTGGCACCCAGCCTGGTGGGGTTGGAGGGGCGGCCTGTCAGTGTCCCCATTCTCACTGGCGGGGGCCCCCCTTTTTCCGCACCCCGCAGGGGGGGGAAGATATATTAAAAAAATTAGATGCATGACACCGCTGATAATCACCAGGACATGTTACCCTAACAACATACAGTATGTCTGATAGCTCCAGCATTTATCTTAATGATCCTTTGCAGTAAATGGTAAATGGTAAATGGACTGTATTTATATAGCGCTTTCTCACAGTGTGTTACACTGGCCAAAGCGCTTTACAGGAGATCATACACCATTCACCCATTCACACACACATTCACACACCGATTCCATGGGTTCATCCGTAGGTCTCTGGAAGGATGTGTCGGTCCCCCCCATAAGGGACGGGGCCCGGGCCTCAGAAGGTCGTGCAGATGCAGAACGGGTCAGTGTGGTCGGCTGCTGCCCTGCCCTTTCCTCTCGGAAAGAGCACTGCTGTTTGTCGATCATAATAGCCAAGTCGACTAGGGAGCAGAGGTTAGGGGGCTCGCCTTGGGTGCTTAGTTCCGCCTTAATGTTGTCGTTAAGGCCGTGCCAGAAGGCAGATGTGATTAGTGTTAATGGGCAAGAGACAGTAGGAAAGGTGAGGGAGGCCAGAGCGGCCGAGCAAACCTGACAATTCATGAGAGAACAGACAAGAAGAAGAAAGAAAAAGACTGAAAGAGAATAAATAGGCCCCACTTGGTCTCAGTCACCTGTCAATTCTCTGACAGTAAACTGAAGTCAGTAAAACAAGGAAGTCACTCACATGATACAAAGGAAAAAACAGGTGACAAATTTTTTACTTTGACAAAAAGGAAACAGGTTTGCAAAAACAATCTTAGGTGGTAGATTAAATTCTGAAAATACATTAATAATTAACCTGAGAAAGATGCGCTGAATAGCCAAGTGTTAGGCCCTAACAAAGTGCAGGTATGTTTACAGCACATTTTATCTCTTACCCTCAGAGTAAACACATCTATCATTGTTTTTATCATAGCTATAAGACAAGCTATGCATCAAGAATGCTGAGTTTAAGACTTCCCTAAGAACAACGCCATAATAACACTCTGCTCTTTCATAACATTTCCAGCAGTTGAGCTCACAGAGTTGCACGCTGAACAATAAATCTGAGCTTGTTTGTTATTTTGATCAATTCAGTTCATACACAACTTTGTATTTCACCACCAACCGGCGGTGAAACTAACCCACACAGAGATACGTCCAGGGATGGGGGAGAAATAACACTCGTCATTTATGGAAAAATTATAAATTATTATTATAATAATAGATTGTTTGACAGATCTTGTGGATATTTTCCAAAGTCTTTTTAGCATGAAATTCTTTCTCTTGTTACCATTCTTGGGGCAGCACGGTGGCACAGTGGGTAACAGCGTTC